GATCCCCCAATACTGAGAGATGCCCCAGCACTGAGAGATCCCCCTCTATAGATCCCCAACACTGAGCTCCCCTCACTATAATTCTCCAACACTGAGAAATCCCCAATAGATCCCCCAACACTGAGAGATCCCCCTCTATAGATCCCCAGCACCGAGAGATTCCCCCAACATCGAGAGATCCCCTCAATACAGATCTCCCACAGATGAAGATCCCCTAATGATAGATCCCCACCCTATAGATCCTTTCATGAGAGATCCGCTCGTGACAGATCCCCATCTCCCCCATGAGGCATCCCAATCGCTCGGCCCATAACCCAAAGCCAGGGAGAGACCGAGCCCCCTCTCCGAGCCCCTGCCCCAGTGGGAGCTTTGCTGGCACCAAGGGTGGGGCGAGGGTTGGAAGTATCTCCCCCCCGCCCCACGGGGGGCTAGTCTCCCTTGCTCTCCCGCCTTGCACCCAGCTTGCCCTGCGCCCGGCTCACCCGTCAATGTTGTACATGGTGCGCAGGCTGAGGGCCGCCCCGAAGTACTTGCTGGGGGAGCTCAAGGCCTCCATGCACCCAGCGCAGGTCCCGTGCTTCTGCCACTCTTCCTTCCTGCGGGGGGCGGAGGGGGGAAATTAAATGCCCATGAGTCAGTCACATGCCCCGCTCCCCCAGGCCCCAGGCTGGGAATCCAGGCTGGGGGGGCAGGGGGATCTGCCAGCCATGACACCCAACCCGGTACGGCAGCCTCCCCATGCCTATGGCCTCTTCTTCAGCATCCTTTCTGTGGCCTCCCCACTACCCTCCCCGCCCACAGCTCTCTCCCCTCCCCTGCCCCTCCCCCCCCCGCCGCGCCCGCCCCCCCCCCCCAACGCTCCCCGGCCACCCCACTCACCAGAAGTTGAAGCTGCTGGCATTGAGGAAGGTGGGCCAGTGCTGGGCCAGCTGCTTGGGCAGATCCTGGCGTAGGAGCGAAAAGCAGGCTTTGCATCCGTTCACACTGGTACCTCTCTCGCACATGGGGAAACTGAGGCACCAGGGAGGGAGACTTGGCCTGCCCAAGGTCAGATAGGGTGTCTGTGGAAGAGCCAGGAAGAGAACCCAGGAATCCCAATGCCCACCCCACTCTAACCACTAGACACCACTCCCCTCCCGGGGCCGGGGATGGAACCCAGGAATCCTGGCTCCCAGCCCTGCTGTGGTTGGATCAGGACGTACTGGATGTGGGGGTCGGCGGGGCATCACTTACCATCAGGTCAGAGGGGAAGAGGTGCCAGCAGCTGCAGCAGTTCATGACGTTGCTGGGCCTGGGATCAAGGGGCACAGAGTCAGGGGAAAGGCCGCTTGGACCCCCACGCCTCCCACCCGCCTCGAGGGGCGTCTCTCACCAGAGCCCGTGGATGGTCCAGCTGTCGGCAGACTCGGGGACGACGCAGTCGAACCTCGGCCCTAGAGCCTCCAGGCAAAGGAACCGGGAAAATGGAAATGGTCACATCCCAGTTTAGCCCGCCACCCCCCCACTGAGCTATTCCCACTGGAATCAGGACTCCTGGGTTCTAGCCCCAGTTCTGGGAGGGAAGTGGGGTCCAGTGGTTAGAGCAGGACTCCTGGGTTCTAGCCCCAGTTCTGGGAGGGGAGTGGGGTCTAGTGGTTAGAGCAGGACTCCTGGGTTCTAGCCCCAGTTCTGGGAGGGGAGTGGGGTCTAGTGGATAGAGCAGGGGGCTCGGGAGGCAGGACTCTTGGGTTCTATCCCCAGCTCTGGGAGGGGAGTGGGGTCTAGTGGATAGAGCAGGGGAGCTCGAGAGGCAGGACTCCTGGGTTCTATCCCCAGCTTGGGGAGTGGGGTCCAGTGGTTAGAGCAAGGGGGACTGGGTTCCATTCGTGGCTCTCCCTGCCTGCCCTTGAGACAATCACATCCCCGCCCTGTGCCTCATTTTCCCCATCGGTAGCACGGTGATACCACCACCTACCCAGCCGGGGGCAGCGGGGTGTGAGGTTTACCTGATGCTGCTATAAACCAAAAAATGCCACCTGGGGACCCCTCCCCAGAACCGGGCCGGGGGGGCATGAGAGCACATGAACCAGCTCAGGCTACCCTGCCCCGACGCACCACGGGCAGTCTGCTCAGATGGTCGCCCGGCTACCCACACAGGTTGTTTAGACCCGTCCGACTGAAAAGACAATATCCTGTCAGGCAGCGAGTGTCTAACGGGGGCTGGGGGGGGCTAGATTGTCACCCTGCTCCTACCCAGGGATCGGACACTCCATAAAGCAAGCCAGGGGATCAGAGCAATGGGCCCATCTAACCTGGGATCCCCCACCCCCAGCCCCTCCAGCTCCAGACCAATCTAACCTGGTATTCTCCCCTGCCCTAGGGCAGACCACGGTCCCAGCTGGCCCCACGCCCCCTGCCCTAGGGCAGACCACAGGCCCATCTGGCCCCACGCCCCCTGCCCTAGAGCAGACCACGGTCCCAGCTGGCCCCACGTTCCCTGCCCTAGGGCAGACCACAGGCCCATCTGGCCCCACGCCCCCTGCCCTAGAGCAGACCACAGGCCCGGCTGGCCCCTCGTTCCCTGCCCTAGGGCAGACCACGGTCCCAGCGGGCCCCACGCCCCCTGCCCTAGGGCAGACCACGGTCCCGGCTGGCCC